GAGCAACAATTGCACTTGCACATTCTCTTTCAACATAATTAACTCTTCTTACATCATAATATAAATATCATCACAGCTGCAGGGCAAGGATCCATGCAGAACAAGTTTTTGCGTGTACTGCAACGGAATGCAGGCAGAGAAAGTCGAATTGGAAAATAGAATCAAACAATGAGCTGGGAATTTTTTTTTCCAATTGTTGAGGCCAATATTCATGAAAAGGATAAAGAAAGATGTAAATCTAAATGCTACTCCACGCATTTCTTTGGAAAAAAAAAAAAAAAAAAAAAAAACAAGGTTAACAGCCAGTGGAATAACGTGTCAGAATACGAGATACCTTTACTGGACATTTTTCTATTGTTAAATAAAGGTGGGTAATGGATAGGATAAAATGGGGATTGTTAAAATTGAAATATGGAAGAATGAAAATCATTTCAAAATTTTCTCTGTACATACTTGCCAAACCTTTGACACTAAAAAATCAGGAGATTTTTCTCAATGTTAAAAAGACTTTTTAAATGATAAAAATATAGTTTTTAATAATGAATTATCTTTAAATAGTAACTAATTCTTAAATGCAAGCAACACAAAAATACCTTACAGATAAAAAACATTTTTATTACTTGCATCGTTTAAGAAAATAAAAAAATAAAAATAAAAAAAGACACTTTAATCAGTTTTCGTACAAATGTTATAAACAGTGGCAGATTTTGCTTTCTTTAAGAAACTTCCTAATTTTGTTCATAGCAATTGCCATGTAGGCCTGCTTTCACTAATAAAAGTTTTTTCTAATGTGTCATCGTTAATATTAGATCTAAATTTAGTCCTCGTTTTTGCAACAACACTGAAAATCCTCTCACACTCCGCATTACTATGGGGAACTGTCAAGATGGCCAACATAATTCTAGACAGTTCACTATATTTTAAAATTCCATCAGCACCTTTCAGTTTTCAAATTAAACTCCACTGGGTGTCAATCCTAGCTGATTTTATAAAATTCATTCAAGTTTTCTAATTGTAAACTGCTGTTATGCAGCTTTTGGAACTGTTTCAATTTTTCCTTTCTTTTAGAACTCCTTTCAAGATAATAATAAATATCAACAATGTGTTCATCCACATTTATTGGTAAAGAAGCTACCCCTTTTTCAGCTGCTAAATCTAAGAGGTGACAGGTGCACCTCATAATCTGCAAATCTGAATTTTCCTTTCTTAAGATGCCTGCAAGCCTACCAATACTGGTGCTTTATCAAGTTTTAATAATTAGCTGTGCTATATTAAAGCCTGTCAAATGTCCTTCTAAAGTGGGAACAGAAAATAAATGCACTCATTTTCTGAAGACTCTGGATTGAAAAAGAAGCAACAATGGATACAGTTTTGAATCAGTATTATGGCTTCCTCCATAGAGACGCAGAACGGAGTTGTTTTTAATGCAATCAATAACTCAAGATTTATTTTTCAAACTCTCATTTCTTTAACATTGCACCTGTTTTGGTTCTTAGCATTTCACGATCGAAAAACATTTTCTAAATAAAGCTGCAGTGTGATCCTATGCATTCAGTGGCAGGTTGTGGTCAAGTAAAAAGGCAGAGAACAGACATTCTGCATTAATAACTTTTTGGTCCTCTGTTTCAAGAAAAATTAATTTTCCATTTTTTCCCCCCAAAACAACTCATGTTGTCCTTGGTTTTTGTGTACGCACATTTTTGAGAACATCCGCCCTTCCACCATGCAAAATCGAAAAATCGTAACGACAGGCGGTACACATCTCAAATTTATTACATTTCCTTGAGGAAATAATGGAAGGAAAGTCAACTGTGTACGATTTTTGAAAGTATTTCACCTTTCTTGCAGATATAACAAAAGATTATAATTTCTAAAACTATATCCCAAAGGCATGTGTACTCACACAACTCAGAACAAAATGAACGAAATAACTAAAGAACATCCAAATAACGCTTGCTTTGTCCTCATTGGCTAATATATGCCAGATGACACGCAGTGGAGCTCGATACCCATTGGAGAATTGGAAACGATGTTTCGGATATGTATATACTCTCACTCACAAAGCAGAAAGTTATCTGATTGCAAGATTTTGTTTTTAAATATAATCTAGAGAAAATTCAATTGCTTTCAGACGTCCAAAATCTTTATTATTTATTATTATTATTATTATTATTATTATATTATTTTGTTTTTTGTTTATATAAGAAAGTATTAAGCCAAGTTCCATAAAAATTGTGAGAAATTTTAAGAATAAGAAAAAGTCGGGAGAAATATATTGTAAATCAGGTTGGCAGGAGAGCGGTCGAAAATCGGGAGTCTCCCGCCTAAATCGGGAGAGTTTGTAACTCTGTCTGTATATAGCCTACCACACATTGTGTTCAAGCTTTCTTCTATGCCCTCCATATTGCATTGTTACCCTGCCCATTTTTCAGATCTATTACTCATCAAACATGTTTGGTCAATGTTTGGAGAATGCCAGCCTAGCATGCTACACACACAGGTACACCAGATTATCTTTGGTTATGTGTGGAGTTATTGGATGTTATTCCCCAGCAACACATCAGAAGCCTCTGGATGTTTCACAGTTTTTTTTTTTTTTTTTTTTTTTTTTTTTTTTACTTTCCTCTTTCTTTTGAATGTCACAGAGTGTAGCAGCAGTTACTGACAAATGTGGAAGCAAGAATTCTTACCGATTTTCTCATCTTCCTCGCCTCACAATATGCTGTATTTCAAATCAATTAACAATGATACTTGTGAAATAAATTTGACTTTGAAATCTCGTCCTTCACACTGCATTCTGGATGGCCAGCAGAACATATATATGGGTTCTTTAGTTTCAAAATCACAATTCATGTTCAAACAAAGCACATTTAATAAAACATTAATACATCTATAATATAGTTCCTCCTACTATACAACTTAAATCTATTATCAATTCTATATCACCTTAAATCTATTAATCACTACTATATCATCTTACATCTATTAATATAGCATCTATATCATCATACATCTATAAAACAACATCTTACATCTCCTCTCATAAAACAAAGTGGCGAGAGTTCTATCAATTTCACTTGTGCTAACAGCTAAAATTTAGACAGCGCGCAAGGAAAAATATTAAGGATTTAAAATCCCACATTCGGCCTTCCTGCTATGCATCGACCTCGACAACATTATTCTACTCTTGGCATCATCATAAATCATTGGTCATCTTACATCATTGTTCTCTTCGGTAAAAGAATACCATGAATACCATATTCATTTACTAATAAAGCCTTAACTGCATTCCACGAATTAATTTTCGTTTCACTCTCAATAAATAATTTTGCTTTACCAGTTAAAGATCTTTTCGCGAATATCAGTTTCTGTAATTCATTTAGGTTTAACAAATTAGATACATCCTCAAAGTTTTCAATGAATTTGTCAACCGAATTATACGGATTACCATCAAATTTAGAAATCAAATTTTCAATATCATTAAAATATATATACGCATTTGAAAACAGTGAAAACGGAAATTGAACAGACGACTTACTAATATTTTGTTTTACCTCATGCTCTTCATCAACAGCAGCAAAAGATGAGTCTTTGAAAATTCGAGCAGTTGATGCATCGATTTCACTATTAACAGAAGTATTCCTTCTTTCATCCAATATTACTTCATATTCCTATATTTTTTGCTTGTAATTTGATCCCACTTCTAACACCAATTTTGTGGGTTCTTTAGTTTCAAAATCACAATTCATGTTCAAACAAAGCACATTTAATAAAACATTAATACATCTATAATATAGTTCCTCTATTAATACAATATCTATATCACCTTACATCTATTAATACAATATCTATATCATCTTAATCATCTACAATATCTATATCATTACATCTATTAATATATTATATCATCTATCTAATCTCTTATTAATATAGCATCTATATCATCATACATCTATAAAACAACGTCTTACAGCTCCTCTCATAAAACAAAGTGGCGAGAGTTCTATCAATTTCACTCGTGCTAACAGCTAAAATTTAGACAGCGTGAGGAAAAATATTAAGGATTTAAAATCCCACATTTATACATAAAGAGAGAAAGAGAAAGTAAGAAATTTATAACCAAATTCAGAAAGACATGAAAGAAATCAAATTCAAAACCAGTAAAACCAAACATTCAATATAAATCTGTAAAAAATATCAATGAATTGTCACCAAACCAGAAGACTTGCTGTAAACTACAAATATGAAATACAAAAAATATATACAAAGGGGAACGCAACTGAAATATTTGATTCAACGTTATCCAGAGAAGGTAGATCACATTCAACTGAATCCCTCCCAAGAAAAACCTCTATGTTCCAAAAATTAGTTGATATACCATTCTAAATTATACAAATGTAAATTCTAAATTATATAATTCACCCAAAAATTCTAAACACCCATCTATGCAGAATTCCAAAAATGATACCTATATATATAAAAATGATACCTATATATATAGAGAGAGAGCGAGAGAGAGGAGGCATTCAGAATTTTGGGGTGATCTGTTATAATTAAATAATTTAGAATGGTTCATCAGTTAATTTTAGACAAAGAGAAATGCAGTGATTTTCCTTGGAGATTTAACTGAATCTGATCTACCTCTTCCTGATAGTGTTGGATCAGATTTTAATTGCATTCCTCTTCCTATGTGCTTTTATGTTAATTTTGTATTTCATATCAGTGTTTACAATAGTTCTGGTTTGGATGACAACTGGTTGCGGTTTTTTACATATTTATACAGAATTTGGAGTTTTACTGGTTTTGAATTTCATTTCTTTCATGTGTTTGTGAATTTGGTTCTAAATTTCTTACGTTCAGTCTATCATTGATTAATTTTTCAGCAGCAGACTGCACAGAAAAATAATAATGCAGTAATTTTGTTTTAAAATAAAAAAATTCGCAATACCTTTATATATATATAAAGTACAGTTTTTTGATAAATAAATAAAATCACACACCAGAAAGTGATAGTGAGAGTTGATCAGAATGACGGCGACGTGGTGGTTTTGGTGGAGGTGATCGAAACTTATGGAAAGGAGCTTCCAAGATGGCACCTGACATTTCTTCAGTGCTAGAAGAAATACAAGCATGTTACTATTAAAAAAAAATCCACATGGAAATTCTCTTACTACCAATTATGATAATAAAATAACTTTAATTACATATTTTAAAAAATACAATTTAATACAAAGAAGAATGTGCTTTGTAAATATCTAAGATACACTACAAAGACCGAAATCTGGACATTTAATAATATATGGAAATTTCTAAATATCCAGACCTCCACACCACTAGCAACACTTTTTCCCTCATGAAAGCCTAGAAATCGAGAAAGAGCAGGTATGCCATAAAAGTTATTTTCTCCTGACTAACTGAGATTTCTATACGTCACTTTCAAACATCTGCTGGCTAGGGAATCACACCAATATGCTAATTGACATTGTATTGATATTAACCACAACCACATTTACAGCCTTTCAGTGATCAGGGGATTAGCATTTTTCTATATGACCTATAAAATACACTCATGTCCATAAATTAAGGATAATGCAAAATCAGGCAAAGGAAGAGTTAGAAGCAAAACAAATATGACTTATTTGTAAAGCATATTTATTAAACAAAAGGTTAAAAGCAAAAAAGATGCTATATGTTTGATATTATTAAAAAAATTAGCAATTTTTCTCCTTGGAGCAAATTACACAAAAAAAAAAAAAAAAAACAATATTACATGGTTGGTATGATAGTTAATACATTGTATGTCTCCTCTCCCAGACGATGCAATACAGTCCGTACAATGCCTAGGCATGCTGAGTATCAAATAATCGAGTTGATCTTGGGGCATATTACACCACTCAAAAAGCAACGCTCTCCGAAGTTCCGTTAGACATGTAGGAGGAGGTTGACGGGCTGCAACTTGGCCAAGCATGTTCCACACGTGCTGTACTGGATTAAAAGTCAGTGAGAATGCTGGCCTGTTCATACGGGTGATATCCTCTGATTGAAGGCATTCGCTTACGATGTTTGCATGGTGAGGACGGGCGTTGTCACCCAGAAACACAAATTGTGCGCCCATGGCGCCCCGAAACAAACGTACATGTTGTTCCAGAATGACGTCCCGATAGATTTGGCTTGTCGTGGTTCCAATTTGAACATGCAGGTCAGTTCTGGAACCCCAGAATAACTCCACTCCAAACGAGCACTCCTGCACCAACAGTAACGATGTCATTGAATGATGTTTTCTTGGTGGTAATGGGTACCTGGAGCTATCCATATGAAAGTCCGGCGAGAATCAGACTACAAGCTAAACCTGGACTCGTCGGAAAACATCACACAAGCCCACTGTTGCGGTGTCCACAATGCATGCTCTCAACTCCAGGCTAACTGCAGGCGACACCGAGTTGCAGTAAGTGGAACGCATCTGACAAGTCTATGAGCATATAGACCAATCTGCCCTAAGCGTCTGTACACGGTCTGCCTTGAAAATTGTCGCACCATTGGCTGAAGAGAGCTGACGAGACAGGTCTGAGTCTGTGCTCCGCCTGTTTCTTTTGGCAACCGATCCTCATTTGGCGTTATAACTCTGGGGCGACCTGTGCTGTAACGTCTACTCACATTACCATCATCTTGGAATCGTTGCCAAAGCCTGGAGATGACACTCTGGGCAATTCCAAGTTCGTCTGATACTTGCAGTTGGGTACGCCCACATTCCAGACAGCCGATAATTCTACCACATAAAAAATCATCCAAATGCGTCTGTTGTGTCATAACTATTCAGTTATTGCACTGAAATGCTTATAAAGCGCCTGCGAACAGTTTTACTTCTTTGCCTGTATTCCTTATATATCACTTTGTTACACTCTCGTCATTGTGACGTACCATTGGTGTCATCTGGTTACTTCCTGAAATTTGCATATGATTCTTGGATATGTGTGTGGTGATTTTACAGGTGATATATTTATTTTAGAGTTCGATTTCCGCAACACCGAATTATCCTTAATTTATGGACATGAGTGTAATTTAAGCCCAAGATACATTTATTTGGAGTGGGTTATTCATTAGTCCAAAATTAAGACATTTCAGGGTTGTTCATAATGCCAAGACATACAAAAAGAATTGTTTCAACATTAAAAACAAATCTAAATTGAATTTTCAAATTGACTTTATCACACCATACAAACAGTTTGTATGAAAAATAAATCTTCCTAGCTTATTGGAAAACCGTTCAAAAATAAGTTACAAACGTTTGCCCATAGCAACACACAATATGACTGAACTAAATAAAAACTTATAACATACACTTACATATACATAGACTCCAACCTTTAGCAAACCTTGTCAGTAGTCAACGCGCGAACGACATTTTTACAACTTTGAAAATGTGCGCATAGCGTATGTTGTAATTAACCATTCATTAATTTTAAATTAATAATTAATTGTAATCAATTTTATTACATTTAAAATCCATATACTATAAAACTGAATAATTAAAAATATACCTTGTAAATTATATGCCACATTTAATTAGAAATTTTCTTTTAACTCCTCAAGCATTCACTAATAAAAAGTACTTTCAAATCACTACTAATCATAGAAAAAATCAGAAGCTATAAATCATATCTTTATTCTGGATATGATTTCTACAGGGAAATAAAATTTAAATAACCAAGAATGATACATATAAGTATTAACAAAATACGCATAATTTATGAATGCAAAGATTTATATGTAGCATGCTTAGCAAGCTTAAGTTCTGATTTTGAGAATGTTTTTTTTAACACAGTTCTTCATTTGCCTGCATATTTATTTTTTCAATCAAAACTGCTTCAAGAGTTTTTAAGACCTAAATTTGGTCGAAATTCCGTCTGATTTTTTTTAACAATAGAAAAAATTCTTTCGCAAGCTGCATTTGAATGAGGTATTATTAAGACAGCAAGCATTACAGAAGGCAATACTTTGTATTTAATACACCCATTCATATTTTTTAATTTGGCAATTTCTCCCCATGCTATATCAATACGCAATCTACAATTTCTTTCAAATCATCTACTTGATACATGGAAAATTCAATTTACTACTTGATTAAGATATTTTTCATCAATAATGGATGGAAAAATATTTATCAAGTAAAGAACAGATGAAAATGAGAACTTCAGTTCACAAGTTGATGTCAGCAACTTCAGCATGTTTTAGAAATGGATTACTTAGTGGAAATTTATTCTATTATATCTATGAACATGCAGTTACAAAAAAAGCTCGCAGAGACTTGAAAAATGATTTCACTTCACCTTTCATTTCAAACTTGGCATTTTTTAAATATATTCTTGTTTTTCCGCACCAATCACTAAATTTTCATTTTCTTTTGTTTACTATACTTCTGAAATGGAATAGATGTTAGAGTAAAATCTTTCACTTTCCTTTAGAAATTACTGATGGTTTTATGAATCTAACAAGTTCATTAAAAGTTCAACAAGTTCTCTTCTCAATTTATGTATATAAGTTAGCTTGTTGTTGCAAACAACGAAATATGTTAGAATATCAACTTTCACCAGTATTTTTCAACATTCACATAGTCACTTTGGTGGTCGGTGACTGTAAAATTTTTTTTATGTTTTGCAATCTCTTTCCTCCTTTCATCTCACTGTATCTGGTTTATCTCCAAAAAAATTTATCACAGCATCCCACTGTTCCAAAATCCTTGTTATAGATTCTAAAAGAGACAACCATCTCGTACTGCAATATTCAAAATTTTATGAGATTTTGCATTCTGTCCCAAAATTTGTTGAGCAACTTTGAAGCTATGCTTCCGTTTCGAACTTTTTCTCCAAGTAAAAATATATTCTATTATCAACATTTCAATTTCTGAGCCAATTAATTTTTCAGTAGCTTTTTTTTGCAGCTATATGCAAGAGGTGGCACGGACAACCTCGGGTGATTATACTTGGTTGATGCATTTTGATAAATGATGCTACACCTTTAAACTTTCCAATCATATTACTAGCATTATCTGAAGAAAATGATAAGCAATTTTTCCATTCTAAACCTTTGTTTTTAAAGTTTTCATTTATACAATTAAAAAATACCTTCTTCTGTATTATTCGTGCATTCTAAAATAGAAATCAATGAAGTAATTATCACTCCCTTTTCTTACTGTAGTATGTTATAACCAATGGGTACAGTTTGTTATCATTGTTATCATTACTTACTTCCATCAGTACTTAGAGAAAATGATGTACTGCACACTGATTTTATAATATCAGCAACAGTATTTTCTGCAAGCGTTTTCACAATAGCAGCAGTTTTGGTATGACCGCAGCCTAAATTTTTTGCTATGGCAGAATCCGGAAACATTGCTTTGAAAAGCTCTTTGGAATGATCCGAAACAGAAAGCGGTAGATTATGTTCAATTAAAAACGAACAAAATAGCATTCGGCTTTTATAGGATCTGTTTCATCATCTTTTATTAAGAAATTTGTTATTTCTTTAGATTTTTACGTGCCAAGTTCTATATGCTTTTGAGAAAACACATGCCGTTTACCAGTCATCTTTCCGCCATGAGCAACTGAGAAGTCTTTGTTGCATACACTGCAGTGTGCGTCATTCACAGAAATTTCGGATGCTTTAATGCATGGAAATTCTGAAGAATATGAATCTTTAAACTTCTGCTTTGATAATTTTGGCTTCTTCGTTCGAGGCAGCATTATGATTAAAAATCTTTCACCTGATTCACAGTTCACAAGACACACGCTAAGCTCTCGCCGTAAACTACACAATGCACCGAATGCAGCCTAAACATGCATCAGCGAGGAACCTGGGAGACAGACAATTGGGTGGAACTATTGATAAGTCGTTAACAGTTGGAGTTACTGATCTACGATTGGCTAATTCTTCAAAACTAGGAACGCACTCAACACGTGATATATGATAACACAAGTATTCAGCCAATCATCGGATGAATTAGTTGGTTCCGTTTTGCGTACTGGTTCTCCTGCTCTTGTTTCTGTAAAATCCGTAGTTTTTTCCATACTTTTCGTAGCTCGTAGTTTTTCATGAATTTCCATAGAAACTAC